TAAAATGCGGCAATTTTGCTACATATTGCTACAGGTATTACAAAGTGCCACAATTATTACAAAGTGCATCAGAAAAGGGTGAAATAACAAAACTTTTTATGCATTTCATTAATGGGGCACTCTTCAATTAAGATATAATCATATAAATAGCAATAATAGCATTTACGGCTGATCAATTATATTATTTGTTCACCTTATCCAAACTAAATTTCCGTGCTTTAAAGCAAGTTATCTGTCTACTGTCGGCAGTTGCTTGAAAAGCTCCTTTGCATCTACTCAGGTAGGCCACAGATGAAATTGCGGATACTGTCAGAAACATGTAAACAATAGCAAATGTAATAATGAAAAACACTTTATTCGATCTGCCATTCAATTTCAAACAAAAACAAAAAAATTATAGTTTACATAGGACATTACTAAAACATTCTACGGAACAAACACATAAGATAATCATTTGGCAGGTTTCTCTTTTCAATCGGAAAGAATGCCAAATTTTAAAATTGCGGATACTGCCAGAAACATGTAAACAATAGCAAATGTAGATAAAAAGGCTTCTCTCGAGCTGGCATTCAATTTCAAACGAAAACAAAAAATTGTTGTTAACAAAGGACATTACTGAAATATTCTAAGAAACAAACACTGAAGATAATCACTTGGTAGGTTTCTCTTTTCAATCAGAAAAAATGCCAAATTTGTTTCAATTTTTATAGTCTCACACTCTCAAAAATAGTTCGGCCTTCAGAAAAAAAATATATTTATCAGAGGTTGACGTTTCGTCGAAATTAGCTAATAACCTAAAAGAGGAGCTCGCATTCTTTTCCGCTTGCGTTGCGCATCGATAAAATTAATGGACGGAACCCGTGTTTTGGCTGTTTCCTGTGCGGTGAACTAATTAATGGTCTACTGAACTATAACAGTGTTTACAGGTTAATTTTGTTCACCAAGAGAAAAAAGAGCTTAAAGTTAAGACGTGTTCCTTAGGGTTGCGGAATCTGTTAACTGTCGGCAAGAGCTTCGTTGCAGTTACTAGCTAGGGTGGGTTGTTGATGAAATCGGGGGCTAAATTGTTGGAAATACGTGAAGTAAGTGAATGAAACTCTTATTGAGTAAGACATGGTTTTATGTAAGTTTGTACCGGCCCCAGTTTGCAATATATATTATGAGACCTTTATTGCGATTATTTCCAACTAGATGTACTTCATGAAAATATTTCCCTCTCGAATTCGGCAGAATAGTGCTGTTGCAATAACCAGGGTTCGTGATTATGAAAATACCCTCTGTAAAGATGGAAAAATTGCTATAAATCCTGGTCTTAATGAATGAATACAGTTCACATTATTAATGACACATGAGGTTCAGGTTTTAAATAGAGAAATTAAATTGGAAGATCCCTTGCCACAGAGAGTGATTGTTTAAAACACTATCTGCTATCAATGTTTTTTCATTGCAGAAATTTTCCTTATGTCTTTGAATAATGGCATCTGCATATGACATCATTGAGCTTCGATGAAGGAATAGCAATAATTTGCCGTATATTTTTTAAAGGATAAACCACCATATGTATCCAATAGAAGAAGTAGTCTAGTTCTTACTCAAGAGAATATCAACAGTTGATATTATTTTGTTCTTACCTTAATAAAATCTGTTTGCAGCTGTAAAATCTTTCAAGCCAAAGTACATGGGTGTCTACATGATGGAGAAGCGATTTCTCACTTTTCTGATTATGAGTACAGGTGAGACGCGTTCGAGGTAAGGGGAAAAATAAGTAGTCACCCAGAAAAGATAAGAAGACAGGCGTCAAAGGTTTATATATACATAAATATAATGAGTGGATGAGTGAAACAGACCTGCAGGGATGAACTTGTCGTTTATTTGTCTTTTTCCTCCCACAATATATACATCGCTCTACTCCTATGTATTGAGCACTGTTTTACGAAAGTCAAAATTTTACACTTTATATAAATATATATTTTATTTCTAATTCAGACGGGGGATGTTTTTTCTTTGATCTCCACTTTGTTATAAATCGCGCGCGCGAATTAGACTGGCTCCAACTTAACATAAACATTGTTAAAACTTTCTTTAATAAATTTCCAAAAGATAGAGTATCACATACTGATGGCGTGCTTCTTACTCGAGTAAAATAAATGATTTCTGTAACTAATACTGCAACATGAAAATAGACTCTCTTTCTTTATCATTCAGTACTGCAGATACTTGTTCAGGATGTGACGTAAGTATACCAGAATAAACTATGCACAAACATCCTAGTCTTGGTATTATTAGCAGAACTTGTTCTTGCACACACAAAAACAAAATACCGATAAGCATTTGTTTTGAATCTTTCAGTTCCTTCTTTGGCAGGCATGGTCGTAGAAATTTCCGCCGTTCAAGACGAAACCCTCTCCCAGTACCTATAAAACTGCCTTCAACGAAAGCCCCAGCTACGACTCTGCGCACAACTGGTAAAATGACTGCAAGCGGCTGTTTTAGAAATACACAAGGTGTATCTGATATTTACAGTTTCTCAAAAAGGGAAAACTTCAAAAAGTACACCATCAAATGCCAACATTCTACAAGGTACGACGCTAAAAGTCAAAACCACAGCTCTCATGAAGGAAAATGATAACACAAGTCGTAATAATAGTGTGAACATAACCCGACCTGCACCATCAGAAGCGTCCAATGTGAAAATATCCGGGAATGATAACATCGCCAATTATAGTGGACAATATAAAGGTCAAAGTCACAACAAGACTTGGGTAAGATTTTTACGAACGATTTCTGAAGTAAGTATGAGCACACATTAATTTAATTTACTCTAACGCTCTAACATGACCATCATTGCCCGAGACATAATCGCAAAATAGATGAAAAATGCGTGGAGGTATGTATGCCTGTTATCAACCAAGAGGAAGGTCTTCTGTTTTTGTTGTTTTTTATTGTTCTTTCTTTAATCAAATTCAATTTATCTAACTGAAAGGAAATATTTCTTTCAGCACTCAGATGAAGCAGGCATTCAAAAGATACAAGAATTTCTCGAGGACAATGGTTGCTTTTCAGCCTCGTTTGACAAGGTAAGAAATTGATTTGGAACTAAGCTCACTGGCAACGTAACTTGTACTTTGCTGACTTTTTCCTAAAAAGAAAATATAATTTTATAAATATATATATAGGGTTAGGGTACATGCTTCAGTTAAAAGGCAGGCAGCAAAAGATGTGAGATTCATGGTAGAAAATATCTTTTTAACAACAGGAAACAGAGGAAATCATTTTCGAGAACCCTATTCTGTCTTCCTTAGCCGAACCCAGTTTAAATTTTCAAAAGTCATATTAAAGAAATAAAAAACGCGCCGAGTGTATTGTTGAGTTATATAAGTACGCGGGAATTGTTAAGAACACGAGAGAAGTCCTTCTCGCACTTCTCGAGTGTTCTTAAAACTTCCCAGTTGCTTATATAATTCAACAATGCTCTAGGAACAAGTTTTTTATTTCTTTTATAAAATGTATCGTGAATTGTGCGCGCTCGTACCGATGACGCAGGCTGCGTGCATTATATCTCAACGGTGCACTCGTGTGACGTAGGGCGCGTGCTTTATGGAAATTTATAATAAAGTTCGAATATGACGCATGCTGTCATTGGTTGAAAGAGCGTGCTCTATGAGAGTACAGAGCATAGAGCGGAGCTAAAGCTGTCACGCCATCTGCTAAATTGTACTATATATGTTTGACCTTTTCCGGGACTTCTCTCTGGCTTTTTTTTCGTTAATTGAAAGTGAAATTTCGGAACAAGCGAACCGGCAAGTAACAACAGAAGAACCAAACAAATGTTTTTAAAAAGGCCAGGCGCCGCAATTGACGTTATTATAACGTGAACAGAGACGAAAACCCTCAAAGAGAAAACGAAATGGACAGTCCGAGTTTTAGAGGTTTTCACGCTTGGTTAGATGGCAAGCTTATGAATGGTAATAAAAATAAAACAGCCAACACATGTATAGGATGTAAAGTTTCGTGATCAAAAACAAAACAGATCAAAACAAAACAGGATGATGAAAAATATAACCAAACTACTATAACTGTTAAAATCCATACTAATCATGCCACCGTCAGAGCGACTGCGATCACGCTGAGGTCCGTCTAGGCTAGCTCATCATGGCCATCTTCGGTCATCGCAATGAAGTAAGCCTCAGGAACTACATCGGCCGCCCTTCGAGTGAAAAAGTAAGAGCTTGCTCTGATATCCCTTCCGACGAGTTGAGTGAAAGGCCACATCGGTCACTGCAGCCGAGTGTCAAGGCGCTGTCATCCCGAGCGATCTTTACGTTCCCGTGAACTCGGCTGTCGTTCATTCATAAAACTCTCCCCTTGAATTGTTTGTTTTCTACTTGTGATGTGAAAAAACTTGCGTGTTTTTATGAGCCACAATGCGGCCGAGTTTCACTGAACAGTTAACTTTCAGATTCTGTATTAGAGACTAAAAAACTTCTAGTTTTCTATTCAAGTTTTTAAACTATTGCAGGATGTGAACTTTGATGGTTTTTGAACTTTGATGGTTTGACATTTTTGACAGCTTTATTCTTGTACAGCCAATCAGATTATTAGAACCATTCCAACAGGGATTCTGATTGGCTTATTGCAGCGTGCTTTATTAGAGTATAGAGTATGCTGACGACACTGTGGTTCGCTTTGGAAATAGAGCTTGTTTTGAAAATTGAAAGTAACTATGTGTGCTAAGGGAATTTAACGGATTCTTCATTATAAAACAAATAGAAAAGCCTTGACTGTGCCCTGTTCTGTTGTAAAGCACTTAGGAAGGGTCTATTAAACAATACATAGGACTTACCTCGTTTATGATACTCGAAAAATTTGCAGCCAACTGTGAATCTACACCTAAAAAACTTTTATAAGGAAAGTATCAAGGAAATATTTGATACAGATTGCTCTTACAGGACAATATCGCATTTAACTTTTTTTACATTTTCGAAACGGTTCTCTTTTTCAGACCATATGCTCTGTCATTGCTGCCGTCCAGCACTATCTCTACACTTCTCTTTATACTTGGATGTTGATTGAAGCAATAAACCTTTACTTGAAGATGGTAAAGGTTTTCTCTTTTGGAAAGCCATATGCAACATACAGCTTGATTGGATGAGGTAAAGTCATGAATCGATTTTAAATAGGAGAATTGCTTGACAGTGCTACGTTACAATTATACATTAGCTTTGCTGTGGTGTTATTGGCTGTAAAAATCAAATAAAGTTCGTCAATCGTAATTCATCAGTTTCAATAAATTGGTCTCTCTATTCGGTTCCTAACAATAGCCCATTTTACAGTTGCGTACTTGGTTACCAAGCCTTTGAACAGGGGTGAAGCTAAGGGTGACCATATTACGATACAAACGTTGCTACTTTTCAAATGTAAATACTTTGTTATCATGCTAACTAGATACTGGTCTCTGTCACAACAAGGTTACTTGTTCAGCCTCACTCCAAATCGAAGGCTTGGTAACTAAGCAGACAATTGGAAAATGACCTATTGCAGTGTTGTGAAAAATGTTTTTTTTCTCTTAAAATATAGGCGTACCAGGGGTTGTTGTTGCCTTGATGGCAGCAATCCAGCCTTCAACATACGACATGAGTACAATTTTGTACAAAGACATCACGTGTGGAACGCTCAAACTCAGGGGGACTGAGGAAAGAGAAAGATATCTCACTCAGTGGAAGAAAAAAGTAGATAAAATGAAGTAAACAACTACATCGAGTCCATAGTGAATCACAGTAATAATCTATGGTATAAAAAATTGCAATTCATATATGTGTTTTCACTGAAGAGAGACATGACGATGCGACGATGTCAGATGTTGTATTCAACGTAGTCAGACGAAAACCTTGACGGTCAAATGACACTGAGAATTATTTGTTGTAGCAGACAAATACGGAAATGTGACAAAATTGTAACGTAGGAAGATGATTTCTAGATGCCTTCCTTGTAATCAAAAAGAAAAATGCTTCTTTCAGGAGTTAAATCGTTAACTATCTTCGTTTTGTAAACAGCTATGCTCACCAATGAAGGCTCATTCAAACCGAATATAAAGATCTACATACAACTTCTTACCAACTTAACTTCCTTGTCCGTGTAAACTGATGATTTCAATGTTTATGGTTTCAGATGTTGGCTCAACGGAAGTATCTGGAAATTCAAAGGACCCGTGCTTGCCATGCTTTTGGTAAATTTTGAAGTCATCGTTGCCCTCCAGTAAAAGAACATATATAGTACTCGAAAACATTTTGAGCGTAATTTTGGGTATTCATCGTCCTCTTTTAACTCTCCTTGTGGTGGACTTAAATAAAATTTAATGTTATCCTAGGAAGTTTAGAAGCTTTTGCTCTGGCTGTTTTCTGTAGAAATCTTAAAAATCACCAATTTATTAACAGTGCAGGATTCGCTAAAACAATTTCAAAATTTTTAAAGAAACTTAAAAATGTTTTTCTGAAAGGTCGCGTTTTGCTTTGCTGGCTTTGTTCCCTAATCGGCTGCGTTTGAAATTTTGAAAAAGCCTTCAATATTTACTTTAAACACTGCTCAAAGATGCATCTAACAATTAAGAGCATATAGCTATTAGAGCCTGGACTCTTAAAGTCACGTGCAATAACCAAGTATCAGGCCACAGTTTTCTCCAAAATAAGTTCTAAAACATTTTAAAACAGTATTTTTCAATGTCTGAAGCTCAACCAATGTTATTTCTTTATAGCCTTGACTTGAAGTGGGAATCTTATTTAAAATTTTTTTTTATTTGGGGCTCCGATTGAAACTGTAATGATTCTGTGTTTTCATAAATTCTTTTTGCCGTCACTGATGACGGCAATGTGAATGTCTTCAATCCAAACATTAGGCTTCTAAATCAATGGCTGCTCTGCACTTGTGGGTAAATCTTGTTTCGTTCCTTGTCGTCTGTGATAAGAGAGGAATGACTGAGTTCGCAACCTTTGGCATGATACTTGATACTTCATCAGACTTTTAGAGGAGATGGTGGCAACACTTTTCACCCTTTGAACTTAGAATAGCAGTAACGTCCAATCTTGGCATGTTTAACATTAACAAAAGGGTATGTCTTCTGTTATCGTAATGACGTCTGTCTTTTGCCTCCTATTCAGACAAACCTTGCGATCTTTGTTATTGTTCTGCGAGTGAGCTTTGGGAGGATTGAAAGCACAAGTTATGTGCAGACCACCAAGTAAATACATATGGTTGCCTTTTGTGTTTTTTATAAGCTTCTTTTTATGTGTATTTCGTTAATCTTCTACATTTTTACTTAAGGAGGAAGGTACAATTTTTTCCACAGCGATTTGTTTACTTACGACAGTGGGAAAAAAGCGCATGAAAAAGTGAGCAGAAGACAGTATAGTTAGAATGTTAAAATTGAGTTAATGCTAGGTTTAAGGTTAACGTACTCCACCTTCACCACTAAGAAGGTTCTAACTAAAGTGCAATTAAATGAATCGCGAAAGGCTTTTCTTTCTCTCCAGGAAAGGACTAAAAGCTATCTTCGCTTTGCTTCCATTGCTGGGCGTGACATTTTTGCTGGGCTTCTTTGTTGATTGTCATGTTGCTGTGGAATACGCCTTTGTGTTATTGAATTCAATTCAGGTAAAGTGTATGACGGGATTAGATAATATTCCTGTTTTTTTGGTTACTTTTCATGTGACTTCGAATTCTTAGTCTTAAAAATGGGTGAACAGGAAAATAAGGGAGACGCAGCAATAACTAATAAAGGAAAGATGTACGAGGATAGTTTGTCGTAAGTGGGAGTAAAAAAGAAAATAAATAATCCCCATAACGATTCGCAATCCATCGAAAAAAACATACAAAGCCATTCAGAAGAGAGGTGTTAACGATACAACCACCTCAGGATGAATTAGTGGCTAAGGGCGTGTTACCTATGAAGTACGCAATGGCTGTACGGTTTTAGACAGATAGAGTGACAACACAACAGAGCCTGTGCATAGTGTCGGGCACTCATTTATTGGAAAAACTCTCTAACTTTATTCTTTTTAAAAAATGTTAGGGTGTGCTGTTCTTTATCTGTCACTGTGTACTCGATGATCAGGTGAGTATAAATGCTGATATCAATTTTATCATTTATCTACTGATTTAGCTACATGTTGGTGTTGCTTTATTTTTCTGTGTTTTTGCTTTTTGTTTTTTGTTTTTTTTTAAATAAAGGGATCTTTAACGAATCTGAATTGAAATGTAAAGCCAAAACTAAGTTAAATGTATTTGAAAGGAAGTAAAGTACAAGGAACCTACACGAACATAGTACAAGAACATGTAAATTTCCTAAAGCGCGAGAAACCTTTAGTAAGCTACTCGGACAAAGATGTGTTTCTGAAACTAATTGATAAAGAAAATGGTGTGAATTTTTTCAGTTAAGGATTACTTTTGAAACTCAGTAAAGAGGCACTCTTTGAAGCTAGAAATGAACATGAAGCAATGATTTACTCTACCTCTTTGCAACTGAGGACAAAGCTTAAGTATTGAAAAGGCTTCCAACCAATCTTCATTTAGACCCGGAGAGCACCTTTACCACTGCTTGCTCTTGCTTTGCGATTATTCCAGTTTGTCTTACATCTTAAACTCAGCACTAGACGAATTGAATCTTTATTTATATATTTATTTTGAAGTAATGAAAGGATTTTCATTTTCTTGGCAAATAAGTCTTTGATAAGTCGTTGATAATATTTTTGGCATATTTCCCCAAAGAGGTAAGTCCAAATGCGACAGGCCGGTATAACACCCAAAGTAAGTCAAACTCATTTCTATGCATGAAATAAGAGATGATTTGTTACCAATCATCAACCCTTTTTCGTTTATGTTTCCAGGTTCGTAATGCCATGAATAAGATGTTACGTAAGAGGAAACGGGTACACAGTCTCCAGCAATACAAACAGGAGCCCAAAAAAGCGACGGGAATGGCTAGCAAGAAAACAGCAGGTGGTGTAGTCTCACCTTAATGGAAATTTGTCGTTTAGAGCGATGATTTGAATAACGAGAACAACGTACCCAATACCAAAATTAACAATGCCCAAGTGTTATCATCCTGCACCACGCACTGAATAACCACAACCTTTGAAGAAAAAAAAAATAGATTATCATGGCTAACGAGCGTGTACAATTTTTTTTTCCAGGAGTTGTGAAGAATACGACGAACGAGCGAGGAACAAGCGAGTGAGTTTCTTTCTCACAACAAGTGACAAAAAACTAACCTCCACCACTCCTCCTCCCTCCCCTCCCCTGGCGGTAAATAGCGACTGGTCCATAAAAGAGTAAAAAACAAAATTAGATTAATTAGATTAAACAAAAGAATATTAGAAGGGCTGAAAAAATTGTCCAAGGAGCGAGGTTCACAAAACGAAGCAATGATTTCAACAAATGTTGATCTTTTTAAAATGACTCAGGTAGTTCAGTATTACAGAACATTTACCAGAAACTTTATTGATCAACTGTATCATTAACTGTTAAAAAGACTGTATTTAAAATGTAGTGTATTGTTTAAAATAACCCATAGGAAAATAAAAATTGTTACAAATCGAAAATTTGTGTTGTTGGTATGGTCAGCGTGAAACTGGAGCAGAAAAAGTACGCTCATGCTGGCGTGACGTGTGATGACTTGGATCTGTGTAGCTCCCACGCTAATCCTAGGGCGGGCGTTTTCGAAGGGGTATACAACAAATTTCCCCAAAATGCCTACCCCCCCTTTTTTTACGCGAGCAAGGGGCGCGAAAAACTTTGTTATTCTTAGTCAATGAAAGACAGGTGGCCCCCCTAATTTTTTGAGAGTAGCAACGTTAGCGTCGACTCTGGTGATTCTTGGATTTCCAAAGAGCAGTTAACAAAGTTGGACAAATTACCTATCATCGTCATCATCATCATCATATTCATTCCCTCATTTGCCCACGCAGTCATGTGTACTTTTCACTACTTTAGTTTAATTAGATAAAAAATTTTTCATTTATAGTTTGCTTGCCTTCTGATGGAGAGGGCTGTGAATAAAATGCAAACCATTTTTATTCAAAACGACCGGTGTATAAATTAAGGATATTTTTCTCTTTTGGCCGACATATGTTGCATACAATCTTGCAATTTGAGTATATATTCTGAGCAAAGAGACTCTTTGAAGGGGCTTCCATGCCAACAGCTTATCCAAATAATTAGAGAGGAGCTCACAACGTGCGCTAGGCCTCACTCTCATAAGACATGATAACTCCACTTTTATACAAAAAGGTTAGTTATGACCATAGGGACCCTACTTTTCGTGCACTTGATTCCCAGAATTCCGCGTGGCGAGCTAAAATCAATTTTTTTTTCACTAATATTTTTTGGACTCACGAGACAGACTTCGCCAACTGCTTGTACTCTAACGCTTCTCCCGAGTTCAATTTTTTTTCCAAACGTCGTTTTGTCCACTGGGCTTTCAGAGACAAAGATAATGTATCCGTTAAACAAAAAAGCTTATGATATTATTCACCCTTGGCTTCGATTAACATGTTCGGCAAAGTTTTACCATAGCTAACGCTTCGTAACGGAATCATGTGCTGCAGATCAAACTTCTTTAGGTTTTTCTTTTTACCTCTTGCCCGGTCAATGGCGATTTTTTTAGCAAAGGTGGATCTTAAGATCCCGGGTATACAGTATACAAGGATTCTGTCGCCTAAGCTCTTTCAAAATGCCGGGAATCGTTGCGCAATGGAATAATCAAACCACAAACTGTTTACACATTTACCTTTTCAACCCACTAATTACTTTAGTTTTATCCCTTTGCCGTTGTAAAGTTATTCTATTCGCTCCGTGATTCTATGAACTTTTAGCAGTTTCATATAGACAAAATTGAATAGGGAAGGGGGGAGGGGATCTTGTCAATGATTTAGAGTGGTGGGGTAGAGACAGGAGTTTGATATTTTTTCAGGTTTCCGTGAACGAGGTTCGAATCATACCAATTAGTCGCCAGAGTGGCACTCTCCAGAAGTTTCGCAAGTACGGTACACGTCTTGCCTTTCTCATAGATTTGATGATCGTCCGGGTACATTGATAGCGTAGAATCCACGTTGTATGAAAGTTCATTCTGAAATATGTTCCTCAATAGTTGTCCTAATACGGATTCCTGAGGAAAGCCTCGCTCCATATTTCTCCATGAGCTAGTTACCGACCCGATGTGCACTCTCCCTGAGCGGTTGCACAGGTAACTGCACAGAAAATCCAGTGCTCTGTCCTGGAAACAGCAAGCTTTTAATTTGCTCCGCATAAGCGGTGGACGTAACCTTTAGAAAGCTTTGGACATATCTGTTGATAATATTCCCACTAGCAGACGATTGTCGCTAGCCAGTTTCGAATCCCCCACCAGGCTAATATGTTGTTTCACAACTATTGTGCTTTCGATAAGCCCTAAGGCCATCACCAAGACAATTATCATAATTTGTTATTACTTGATACTTTATGAACAGGCTGGTCGTAATGATAAAGCAAAGGCCAAAGCGTTTACACGCAGTTTTTTCTTTTCTTACATACTTACCTCCTCTCCTTAAGAGGTGTTAGCATTACTAGGAGATAAAATAACAGATGAATCTATTGATACAATATGACTGACGCGAGTTTAAAAAGAAATGTGTATTTACGTCGAGCGGTAAGTAATACGGACTCTACAGGTAATTATTGTTATAATTAGTAAGCAATGTGTGTGAGAAATACATCGAAAGCCTTTCTTTTCACATGGGTGTACCTTGCCAGTGATAGTGGTAAGCGATCTTCCATTCTTCGGCATGTGATGAAAAGTTTTATCATGCAGATTTTATTTTTTTAGACTGGGATCTATCAAACTTTTGCCCTTGTTAAGGATAGGACTTTCATGTATACCAACTCCAGCCAAGTCAAAGGGTAAATGATCTTATGCACAGAGACGGAACATCGAATAAGTATCTTTTTTTGAATAATCTATATCGGTTTCAATAATTGTTTCGAGCTAACCAGCGCTTTTGCGGTACAAACAGTTACGTAATAACATGTATTACTTACATCAGCAATTACAGAGATTTTTTTCCATTGAGCAAACAGCACAGGCCAGTTTTTAGTTTTACTCAGCAGGAATTCAAGCGGCTCAAAACATATTAATATGAAACGAAAAGTTTAGCTGTATTTCAAGCAGACCGATCGAGGAAAACACGCCATTAAAAACTTCAAAAAAAGTAAAACATTTATCGGATTACCTCTTTAATAAAGGACCTTTATACCATGAATTTTATTTTCCATTTATATGATGAACTTTATGAAAGCCTTTGATATGCAGAGATATGATTTCTTAAAAGTTGATGAAAACTGTGGGGAGGGGGGGGAGAGGGTGAGATTTCAGGAAATTGCTGGCTGCAGTTACTCTCTTATTCCATGTCTGCTTTTCTAATTACTGTTGATGATACCTTTGTCGTGATTTTGCCACAGGACGAAATCCGTATTTCTGAAACGTGACGGAAACATGCAACTCCATGTTTCCGTTATGTTTAACATGCACAAAAAGTGGTCCGGTTCCGTTGTATACGCAGCAATGGAAACGCGAGAAAACGTCACGAAACCGGTAACGGAAACACAGGTTATCCGTCGTGTTTCCAGAACGGTTTAACATGTTTCTGCCACGTTTCCGTTTACGGATTCTTGCAATTTCGTCCTGTGTGCGTAAAAATTCGTCTCTTCCTTCTTTTCGCCTTGTTTAATGAGTTCCTCGCTTCCTTGGGGCTAGTGCACCTTTTCTCGATTCATTATAAAATGCCGCAACCGTTATGAACAAAATGCATAAGTTATTTCAAAATGCGTCGTTATTAGAAAATGCTAAAGAACAGCTATTCATTATTTAAACCATAAAAAATGAAATCTCATAGCATTTCTCATTCGAGGCCTTCTGAAATTATCCAATACAGGTTTTGAAAAAGTAATCGTTAATAAATATTCAGCATCGTAAGCCGAAGAAAAAATCGGTAGCTTTTTATCTCTTACATTAGACCAATTCTAGATTATTGTGATACAGTGTGGGGTTGATGCGTGAAACAGTCGGGCATTAGCGGCTTGGTAGAAAAGAGCAGGTGGAATTGGTGAGAGAACGACTCACAGCTACATTTTCGAAGAACTCCTTCAAACCAGAAAGTTATTCAACCAGAGAGAGACAATATCAATATTGCCTCTTCACTTACGTTTAATTTTTTTTTCTTTCACGGTCCTTTTCATAAATTACTAGACAATTGCGTGAGAAATTTATTCCTGCCGAATTTTCGCGAAAATAATGTAAATCTTCAAATTTGTAATAATTACTTAGATCCGGTTAGAAATCCATGAAGAACGTAGATGGAACCGTTATTGATTATAATTTTCCTTTTTTCCTAATTTGCTGCTAGGAAAAAAATGAGCGGCTCAATATTTTTCCCAGCAAGAAATTAGAAGAAAAGGAAAATGTTACCTCTTACAAAGAACACCGCTGACACAGTCTTGGCAGTAAACACTCGGTGTTTTCTGATTTCTTTCATTACTGGCAAGTTACACAGATTAAACCTATGTCGAGCTTCATTCAAAGAAATACTGCCATGTATTATTAAGTGTTTTTCATTACTATCCTGTGCCACTCGGATGGTAACCAGCTCTTTAAACACATTTAGCAGATTTTAGATACAACGTCTTTAAACTCAAAGCATCTGGAAATCATCTGGGTCATTATGAGAGACTACTTTTTTTTGTTTCTTCCCACATTTCTAATACACTCCAGGAAGACTGAAAGTGAATATTACATCTGATTTCGCCGTTAGATAGGCTATTTTTTTGTGCATTAGCCGCTTCCTGCGTGTTTTACGACAGAGCAGAATACAATCAAGGCTTCTATATTTGTTAAATGTGCTGCATGGTCGTGCAT